TTAAATTTTTCAACTCATCTGCCAGGCTCAGCCTCACCCCTCATCTTTGTGCTACCACAAGACTTCAGGTAGTAACAAAGTTCCTTTCTGCTCTAACTGTGATTTGATTTCTGTGTATTAAGTGACACCATTTAACAGCATGCAGCAGCTGAATCACTGCAGCAAGTTCCTGCATTTTGAAAATATATTCAGAAAAAAAGACAAGGAATGTAGCCCTATTTGCACAGATATTTTTACCTTTTGAGGTATTATGCTTTTAATTTGTGAGCATCTAAAACTGAAAAAACACCTCTAGCATTGATACATAGCTTCTCTCCCAATACCAGATGGCAAAAGAGACAGCAAATAATTAGAATTACTCTCTGAAAACAGACAGCCCTGGCCATCACCTGATGATTTCTTCCAGGTTTGTATTTTTTCTTTTGATAAAACAATGGTTTAAAATCATATCCATGAGGGAAAATCATAAGCATCATGGCTGAATGTACTTTGCTGAAGTGAAAAAAGTCCATGCAGACAGCTATGTTTTCTTTCAAGGCATTGCTTGCACACACTATAATACAGCAGCCCTGTGGTTTTTATTGTTGTTGTTTTTAAACTAATAATAATAAATAAAGAAATAATAAAATGAAATGGAAATAATTAAAGTTCATTTTGCTAGGTTCTTCCTGCATTCACTTTATCAGCAGGAAAAGAGTAAATGAGCACTTTCTGTTCTTCAGGCCTGCCCTGTTTGTTGAATGTAGAACTTTTTCAGTCTTCTCCAAATCACATACTTAAACAAATATAAAATTAAAATATGATATTTAAAAAGTATATAAAATATAAAAAATATAAAATTAAAATATACTTTAACTTTTGCTTTAGATATCTTTTCAGCTTAGAAACTTTCAAAAATAGTGCTCCTGGAGGGGTCTTTTTGATGTTTTCCCTATTTTTTTTTTTCTCAATAGCCATTACAGCTGTCCACACACCCCTCTCAGCTTCACCACCATGAGAAACTGCATCTTCCCCTTCCACTGTGACACCCTTCATCCTCTCCTCTTGGAAGAGAACCTCCAAGAGGCAATCTCAGCTGAGTGCAGAAGTATCCTGCAATAAAATTCCCACTTGAAAACAGACATTGCATTGAAAGGCAATAATCAAAGTTTTCCACGAGAGATGAGCAGACAGCTCTAGAAAGCAGTTCTGGAGCTCCCATTCTTCCACCTCAGAGTTGCAGGTACCACCAGTGGGAAGGTCACTGACCCAGCACTGGCCAGGGTGCCACAGGTTAAATGTAGTGCTCCAGGGGATGCTGGTTTGTCTTCCAGAACAATAATGAGTTGTAAGTCTTCCTTACAAGACAGATCATGGGATCACAGAAGGTTTTGTGTTGGAAGGGACCTCAAAGATCCTCTCATTCCAACCCCCTGCCATGGACAGGGACACCTTCCACTAGCAGGTCCCTCAGAGCCCCATCCAGGCTGGCCTTGGACACTTCCAGGGATGGGGCAGCCACCAGGTCCTTCTCTGGGCAACCTGTGCCAGGGCCTCAGCACCTTCACAGAGAAGAATTTCTTCCCAATATCCAATTTAACTCTGCCCTCTGTCAACTTCAAGTCATTTCCCCTTGCTCTGTCACTACACTGCCCTTCTTAAAAGTCCCTCTCCAGCTCTCTCCTAACTGGAAAGCTGCTGGAAGGTTCCCCAGAGCCTTCTCCTCTGCAGGCTGCACAACCCCAGTTCTCAGCCTGTCTTCACAGGAGAGGTGCTCCAGCCCCCTGAGCCCCTCCTGGCCTCCCCTGCACTCAGTGCAGCAGCTCTGTGCCCTTTTACTGCTGGGGAGCCCAGGGCTGGATGCAGAGCTCCAGCTGGGATCTCCAGAGCAGAGCAGAGGGGCAGGATCCCCTCCCTGCCCTGCTGGGCACATTTGGCTCTCTGGACTGTCAGTGCTCACTGCCAGGTCCTGCTGAGCTTCCAACACCCCCATCCCTTCTCCTCAGGGCTGTTCTCCATCCATCCTCAGCCCAGGCTGTGTTTGTGCTGGGATTGCCCCAGCCCAGGTGCAGGACTTTGCTCTTGGCCCTGCTGAACCCCACGAGGTTCTCCTGAGCTCTCCAGGCTGTCAGTGTCCCTCTGGATGGATCCCTGCCCTCCAGGGGCTGCACACAGAGCGTGGTGCTGGCAGCTTGGTGTCCTCCATCCAACTTTGCACAGGCTCCACAGCAAAAGCAACCTAACAGAGCAACCTTTATTGTCAAGGTAAGCTATAAATAACCCATCTTTTCTCATTAAAACTTGTGAGAATCAGTTCTACCCCTCCAACCTAAATAAAAAAATCAGGAATAAAGGTAAAGACATTATTTTACAGGCAGTTTGGGCAGTTGTAGAATTTTAATGCCAAACCTGAAGTAATTTTACTATTAAATAAATTTTCCACTTACCAATGCAAGCGGTTTTATTTTATGATCAGTCATAGAAGTTACCATATAATTTCTTATGTTATATACATTCCCAGTGCTTATGCCCTTAGAGTAAAAAGTTGCCTTTTTTTTGAAGACTGTATGAACAGAAATGCTCTCCAATGTTTAAAATACTTTCTAAAAACCAGCATGTATACAGTTCTGTAGGTTTTACCAGAGGTGTATAATTTTTCAGCATTACGTCTTAATGCCAGTTTCCTGAAGGAGCTTTGACTACAAAAGGCATGAATATATTTTCAAAGGATGATGGATAAATTGGTGGGTGGTAATATAATATATCTTAGGCAGCTGATCAGGGCTTTTTATCCTCTGCCTGTCTTTTAGTTATACACAATTTCAAGATAATTATGGTCTATAAGAATGTCTTTTCCCCTTCCTACTACCAGCAATATTTGTCTTGGTTATAGGTTCAAGAAACTTCCAATCACATCACAAAATTGGAATAGGGCAATTATGGCATTTCAGCAGAGAGCTGAACGTGCAAATAGACTGACCACACCATATGGACACAGTATGGACAGTTAATGAACTGCCTTTATGAAATACACCAGCTAATTAGACACTGGCTGTGGAATGTATTGAACCCATACTTGAATTTTACAAAGTAAAACCCAAGCCTCAGGGGTAATTCAGGTTGATTTCTACCATGTCTGTGTTACCTTTCCAGTAAAGAATACAGTCCAATCAGATACTGAAAATAAATTAATTCCTAATCTCATTAAATGAAGTGCCATGTTATTCAATGGTCAGATAGGCTTTATTAAAATCCCAACACTGTGGAATCATCCAAATCCCAAGCAGCTCATTTTTCACATAGGAGAGATCTTTTGAAGCACCTGAAGGTGAGGGTTACTTCACTGACACAATACAAATCAGAGAAATTAACTCTGCTGTGCCTTGTCTGCTAAACAAAGTTAGTGTTGAACAGGCAAGGTGAGAGTAAACAGCACAGACAAGAATATTGTTGGATACACAAGGGCACAAAGGAAGGCAGGAATCAAAACAAGATGTTGATGATACAGCAATATTGTCCCTGGATTTATAGTCTCCTATGGCAGCACCACCATGGAGTCAGAACACAGGAATGCAGCATTCCTGCCTAGTGCCTGCCCCTGGAAATTAAGGAGGAAAATAATTCCCTATCAGACAAGAGAGTTGTGCAAGGCACAGCAAACTGACTGACCCCAAACTCAAACTCCAAGTGGTACAAGGTGTATGGCAGATGTATGTAACAGTGTCTGCTTGTTATCACATGAAGGAGCCAGAAAAAAACACGGCAGGCTATGAAAAACTGAATCAAAGGGGGATGAAAGAAAAATAGAATGTACATTAGCTACTCCATTTTAAGAAAATTGAATGCAATGTAATAAAAATACTAATTTGGATAATGAAATCTCAATGAGAAAAACAACTGCAAGAATCGTGTTGTATCATTAGGGAGTCAATACTTGATTGTTAGTTATTTAAAACCACTTAATTAAAAAAATACAGCACATTCTTAGGTAGCTTGTACTTGAAAATCAAATTTTAACCTGTTTGTTTAACCTTTATTCTAAGCCACAAGTGAGAAAAATTTTCACCCTTAAATGAACCTTCTTCAGGTTTAGGAGCATTAAAAACCTGATTTTTCAAAACACAATAATTTCATTTCATTAAGAATATACTTTTTCCTGAATACTGAGGATGATGTTCAAGAGGTAAGGCATAGAATTTACCATCCCTAGGTAGGAAAACACAAGAGTAATCATTTTGTCCAGAAATAATCTCTGAAGACACTTAAGGAAATAGCCAGACTTCACTTGATGCAGAAGTAATCAGGAAATTATATGTTACTTCTGATATTAGGAAAACGCAGCCTTAGAAAGACATAAAATATTTAATGAAATTTTGCAAGATTATCCTCACACTTCAGCATTTTTTGCACTGTTGATCAGGCTTTTTCCCTTATGCAATTTTCTCATGACAGAAACTATCAGTGTTTGATTGGGAGTCCACTGAAGTCTGGAGGGATCCTTTCTGTGTGACCTGATCCAAAGCTGACCAAGTTCCCTAGCACAAAAAAGAGTCAGAATGAAATGTAAGTGTAAAGGAAATTGTAAAGATGCTCAATGATGTTTTTATTTTCTACAGGAAACTGCAATAAATATCCACACAAACCCTACACTGTTTCTACCACAAAATACTGGAGGCAGCTTAACTACACTTCCTCCTGGGCAGGAGGAAACTGTAAGCAGTTGGGTTTACTGAAACCATCCCACTAAGCCAGTGGAATAAAGAAATAAAATAAAGAATAAACAGGTTCCAAGCCTGATTTGGCCTTGGGAGGATCTTACTCCACTGTCCATAGATGGGAGGTAGAGACCTGAATTTAATTCCCAAATCTGGCTAGTGTAAATAATCCTGTACTTCCCAACACATTCTTCTGAAACACCAAGATTAATTCATTTGTTGCTACACAATATGGACACTTTAAAATGCATTTCATTAATAAAGAAATTACAGCTTTACTTATCAAAAGCAATGAGTCTTATTTACCTTCAAAATGTTGTCAGGATGCTCTTTGGCAGAAGCAACAAACAGGTCATGTCCACAGACAATTCCCTCTGCGAGAAAATACTTGAACAACAAACTGGAGTAAAGGCCATATTTATCCTCCTCTGTGAAAACAAGAATGGTTGGATTTGTTTTTGTTAGATAAATTGCTCACCTGTAGGTTCATAACACTGTAAAAGGCCTCTTTGGGTCTATCTCCTGGAGTACAGAATTTACAACAGAAAACAAAGGTAAAATAGGACTCCAAAACTTTTAAAATAATGCTTGATAATACTGTATTTCAAATTTTTCAAGCCAGAGGAATAGTCCTCAATCAGGCATTTGATTCTAAGATATGGATGGGACACAGCCTCCTTACAAGGCTTCCCATGAGTATCAACTAAGATGGCTGAATTTATGGATTAATGGCAAGGGGCTCCATAATTTAGGAAAACTATGTTAACATTTATATTCCTAGTGCTTAAAACCTGCTTAAAATATTTGTTACCTGATGCTTTTCAAAATTCGGCCATATTTGGCATGCTAAGCCTATACAGAGGTAACGTTCAGAATAGAGACATTCTTATGTCAGCATTTATTCCAAAGTTGTGAAAACTACAAAAGCCAAATGGATGTATTGAAGAAACCAAACAATTAGCAATGCTTTCTTTGAAACCTAACCAGAGAAAAAACAGAGCACATTCAAAAGACTTGTGAATTTGCAGTTTAAGCAGGGAGACAATGCTTGATAGCAGACATTGTAAATACTGGCCCACTGAAATGAAAACACAAATTCTGACTTCAGAAAGAGCAGCATTTCCTTCAGCTTCCCTGGTGCAAGTGTCAGAAATTAGCAGAATTAGGAAGTCTTAATGAAGTCATACAATTAAAACTCAGCATAACTTCAAGCCGTGGGAAGTGGATTTGTGCAAAACAACCGAAATCTGAACCATCTCTGGTTTTTTGTTCTTTATTTGTAGGAAATACCAACAATAGCACTGTTAATGCTTTTTATGGTTTTTGGGAGAAAAGTGAATGTGCTACATTAGGTTTCACTTTTTCATCTCTTAATCTGGCAGCTGAAAGACAATACACAGGGATGCTGAGGCAGAAAGATACAGAGAGATATTTCTTTATACAGAATGAACAAAACTCAATTTATTATTTGTGTGACTTGGAAAATATTCCCTAACTACACATATGAAATAGTAAAATTAAAAATAAAAAACCAGTAACAAAAAGAGAAAATGAAAAAGTTGTCATTCATATCCAACTTGCAAAAAAACAGTAAAGAGGAAAATAAAAGTACTCTAACTTTGACATGTATCACAATCAAAATGAATCAATGGAGTGAAGGAGAAAAGGAAAGGAAGAAAGTGTATATCCATAAAGGAAAAGGAAAACCAATAGCAATGGGGAAACCTAGGAAACAAATCACAGGAAGTGTTGTTGCACTGCTACACTCCTAATATCTTGCACGTGTACTGATACTCTCAGTGCTCAGATTAACAAGAAATTCAAACCACAAGTGCTCAAAACCACTGGAGAAAACCCAGTTCTCCAAGAGATACTCCCCAACCTCCATGGGATATTAGGTAAAACAGAATTTATTTCCTGCTTTTTTCAATTCCACTGTTAAATTCAGTATTTGGGATAGTAGAGTCACTAGAAGTTACTCTAAAGCAGTAGCTCAAAACAGGGAAAAATGTTTCATGATCCCATCACTAAGACAGGAAATGACATAAAACGGGATATCCAAACAAGCCAAATACAATAATTACAACACTCTTACTACTAGTTCAAGCCACTCTGCAGTTTGCTGTAGAGTCTTAGGATTTTAAGAACTTAAATTGCATTAACAGAACTTACCTTTGATACTGTTGGCCTGCTGAGGAGGCCATATTAGCCTTCAATGTACTTGCAATAACACATCGACCTTTTTTTTTTTAAAATTTTTAATAAGGGTCTTGTGACAAATATGTGACAAAGCTCTGAATCATAAAAAGCACAGGACTGACAAAACCATACTGGTGACAGTACTGGGCTCCCCATCAAAATTTCATCAGGATGGATTTCCAAACTGCAATTTACTTGAGAATTTGGAGCTTGTAACTAAATATTAGATCCAGTTTACTCTTGCATCCTTACAAAGCCATTATTAGTGTTACTGAAGAACTGCCTTCCTAGTAACTCAGTGATGAGACTGAGGATGTAGAGCCAGCTATGGGACTCAAGTGGACACAAGGCTCAATCAGCTAAAACTGCAACACTCCCATTGCAGAAACAAGACAGAACTGACACTACCTAAGCTTTGAAGAAGTGTTATGGTCGTATTTTGTACACAGTCTTTGCAGCCTGCTTAAATCTTAAACTGTTTCAAGAGGGAAATAAAACCCCATTGCTCAATAAGTGTCCCTTGTAACTGGAGTCCAGACCACTGCTCCTGCCCCCTCAAACATTGGCTCTCTCTAGTTATTCTTACTGCTTTATCCTCAGTGATATATTATTCACACTATATTGATTTCCATGTGCTAATCTCCAACTATGAAGCTCTCAATTTCAGAAGCAAAGACCTCTAGAAATCAAAGTGGCAGCATGAGATCTACATTTTTTGTTTTAAATTGTCTGAGGTACCTGAAAGAAGCCACCAAGGCTCCCCTGTAATCACATCACTGTGGCAGATGTCACTGGAAGGAGACAATTTTGTTAGATCTCTCTCCCTTTGAACAAGAGAGGAAAAGAACACTCGTCAGGCACTCTGGAAGGATCCTCAGCTGCAACACTTACATCAGCCTTGCTGAATGAAAAATCTTGGGTTCTCAGTTTTTAACTACAGGTTAAAGTTCACCTTCTTCACCATCTGAGGCCCAGAAACACTGAGTTGATCTGTATTTAACTGACATTTAATGGAAAATAAGAAAATGTCTTGTTGAGTCCAAGTGTTTTATGGTTTGAGTCTGTTTGTACATCTATACAGACAGTCTTTCTGGATCATCATTTTTGATATTAATTACTCCTTAGAAAGTAAACAATTTCTTGTGCCAAACATAACAGAGAAACTCCATAAACCATGCATAAATACAAGAAATCATATGATGTGTTGGTGATCATTTAACTAAGCTAAGAAGAAATATGGCTGTAATAGTTAAAAAGAATTTTTCTATTTGAAATGCTGAAATGTTAAACATATTGTAGAAATAAAGCCATGAAGAACTAGTATATAAACCTTTTAACTGACTTATTGATATTTTAATTCATTTTGTTGATTCATTGATTTATTTGTAATGTAACAGGGCTAGAGAGGTTCTTACATTGCCAAGACATATTTTGCAAAACAACACCGAATGTTCAAGTTAGCAAATTAAAAACACATTCAGTGTAAGGACACATGATTTTAACATAAACCTTTCTTTCCTTCTTAAATTTTCATAAGAGTAAACTTGCAGTAAAAAAATTAAATTAAGAATTGGAAAGTGATCTAAATATAAATCACCTCATAGTTTCCTACAGTACTCTAAGGATTAGATGTGTCTCAGAAAGCCTTTACAAACAATCTATCTGGAATTGTTAAAGTCAATGCATCTGTAAGAATCCCTCAGTTCTTCAATTTGTCAGATAGAGGATGCTTTTTATTGATTCATTTCTAGGTCACTAAACTTTTGTGGTATTCAAAAGATCTAAAGTGCATCCATATGGGGCTTTTCTGATAGCATCCATTGTACCCTGGCTTCAATAGTTACATTCAAAACCAAAAGAGCACGGCTTTCTTCTTGTAAATAAACAAACAAATCACTTAGCACAGGTACTTCAGCAGCTCACTGATGACTTCCATAGGATCCCAGAATGAAGCACTTTCCTGAGAATGCTTGAAGTTAGCATTTGAATGGCTAGGACAAATTTTCAACTGTTACCTTTATCTTTCCAAACTCCTCCACATCCAAAAGAACTACCTTCACTCAGGACTTGTAGGAACTAACACTTCAGATTGTTTTAGTCGATACTTAGGACAAGCCTGGCCCAAATCTTTAGTCTCAGCCTCTGCACTAAAGAGCTGGTCCTTCATTGTGAGCTTCACTTCCAGCTACCAAGGCACATGAACAAATCAGGCTCTTGCAGCTGCAGCCTCTTTTCTGGGTGCAGTCCCCACAAGTCACACACAAGGCACTGAGCAGCTTTCTGCCATTCTTTTGGAACAAACAATGAGTGTTCTCCAGCTAAGCAGCAGGTGAGTAACTAGTGAAGCATGAAACTACACAAGGAAAAGAGATTATTTACCTAGAAGTTATGCATATTGTCTCCAGGACAAAAGCTCCTCTGATCCTACAGATAAGGACATAAATAAAATAGTCTGTTGTGACTATCCATGGGTCTCTTTCCACATGAGTGTGCTTTCCTGGCTGAAACAGTAACAGAGAAAGAGCAGGGTTGTCACTAAGAGCACAGGGAATTCCAGCATATAACCCTATAGCTGTGCACTAAGGATAAAGAGCAATTCCTATTTAGGGGTCTTTTCAGCACTGCACTGTATAGGTTACTGTGGAGTCTTTGCTTCTTTTTTTATAGGGTTGGGATTAAATGAAGTTAAATTCTTGTTGGGACTCAGATATTTATTAGTTTTCATTTATATTACAGTCTTACAAACTGTGAGTTATACAGTACTTCACTCAAATAAACTAAAAATGGAGCCATCTCTCTCTCTCTACAAGGCCTTTTAAGGATAAACTGTCCAGTTAGGAAATGACACCTAAATTATTTTAACTTTTAACCCAATAACTACTTATCTGCAATGTGGACATTTTATCTAATTACACAATATTACCCAAACCCACGGAGAAGGTGAAGAAGAAGGACCAGCCTCCACCCTAAAACTCCTATCTTGTTTTACATATATTACTATATTCTAAAACTTAAAACTCTAAGTTTTCTACTAGGCAATATTCTACACTTTTATTAAAACTACACAGTTATAATCTCAGTTTTATCAGTCAGTTTTGGAAGACTTTTCTACAGCCTCAGGGCAAAGGCAGTGTTCTCTTGGGGTTCAGTGCCTGTCAGCACAGAAAGTCTGAAATTCTCAGTAACCAGGGTTCCAAACAACATAAGGGACATTTCTCCACACCTGTCTGTAGCTACTACTCAAAGAAATTCATGGGTTGTAGAATTAGGTCTAGAATCTTAAAGCTTTTTATCTAGGGCACAGAAAAAAAAAAGAGAGCAGATTTGTGTGAGGGACTGTAAAAATAGAACTTATTTAAAAATTAAGGAAACAAATTTAATTATAGAATTGATATGTAACCATGTGACCTTAAGGAAAAACTCCCTCTGCACAGAGGCATTCATGCTCCAAGAGAGGGATGCAGAATAAGCACCACTAGAACTGGAAGAGGAATAAAAAGCCAGGAACAAAACCCACTATAAGGTAACAAGTATCATATCAATAAATACTGTATTTATAATACCTGACTTTCAAACATCACTATATTAAGCAGCATGAGGGTCTTTGAAAAACTCCAGTGGTCATTTATAGTAGAACTGCTCAAAATGATGAGAGCTGTAAGAAGAATAAGCCTGCAACAATGTAATGTACAGATGGCTTATTTTTTTTTCTCTCTACAAAGTCTAGACAGGTTGCCCTAAAGCTGCCAAAAGCCTGTCATAGCCTATCAGTATTGATAATTTTTTTACCAGATAGATGCTTCTACACTGTGGTCCTGTGACCTAAGGTGTGTCTTTCTCCACCTATGAAACATCTCTCTAAATAGCTGCAGGTTATAAAACGAGAATGTTTTAATAATCTCAAATTCCATTTAAAGATACTTTTCTAATGTCCACGTTTACTAAGCTTGAGGGGATATACTTTGTGTCACTTGCATTTAATTAGCACATGCCAAACCAGAGTTGTCAAACACATAAGTTACAATATTTGGCATTTAGCCATACTTCAGGAAGGTGAATCCTGCTAACTGGTATTTTGTAGGATTATATTTAGCAAATCACTGTTTTGTACCTCCCTTGAGATTATCTTTTTCAGCTTTAAAAAGATGATAAATTCAGTTATATTGGCAAGTGAAGAGAGGTCTTACCAGTCAGGTTAAATTGCATGCCTAACAAAAATAAAAGTAGCTAATTAAAGTAGCTGAAACTGCTTCAAGGCTTACAATGTACAAGTATAGACCTGTTTTTCACCAGACAACGTTAACTTTTAATAACTGACCTCAGCTACCAACAAAACCCCTCCTACTGATAATCTTTAAAACATTTAGCTGACAGTGTCCTTGTCAAAACTGGGGCTTTTAAAGGTAAGCAAGAAAAGTTTCTTACAGGGTGCTCAGGACACCTCTAGTGAGGGTGCTGCAGCTCACTATGTAGGACATGTTCTATAAACAAAGCTTACCTTTAAAAACAAAATAACAATTTAAAATTGTTTTTAAAACATTTTAAAAAACTACAACAATTAATATTATTATATAGCAACATATTAATTATATACAATTAATATATTCATTACATATAATATTATATATAAATTAATATATATTTTGTTAAAATAAAAAATAATTTACAAACAAAATATCCTCCTGCAAACTCTTACTGGGGTGGCAAATCACACATGCAACAGCTTGAAGTACACTGGAGTGGAGAGGGGAAGGAGTGTGCTTGTTTTACTTGTTTGTTTTGAGAAGGGGGACTGTCCTGGGAAGCTGATCTTCTGCAGCAGGTTCAATAAAACCACAAATGTGGTCTCACCTCCATCATGAACAAGCTGCTTTGATGGGGTTCCACAGCAGAATGCTTCTTAGAAACCCACTGCTGTAAGGTTTTTTTAAAACTAAAATAATAGTTAAAATCCTAATTCTTGTTAGATGAACAAACCTCAGGAAGTCTCAAGCTGCTCTGGTAGGTAGGATCTTCCATGAGAATACCATGTGCTTCAACTCTCTAATTTTCATATAATTAAAACACTGTCAAAAGAATATACTATAGAATTAAGCTCAACTGAAAATCACAATGCTCTTTATTATGAATTGAGTTCAAAAACTTGCACACTTCTATTTCAAACAATATTTTACAGTCTTATCAAGTAACCTGTGCCATTACTACATCTTCAGAACACAACAGTTCAAATAAATATTTTAATACCCTGAATCTACTATTATTTGGTTAAATTAACCAAGATAATGAGTCAAATAATGAAGATGAGCATTTAATTTGCAAAGGGAGCTAAGCTAAAAGTAATTCAATTTATTCTCACCTTAGAGAATGTTGAAGGAAGGGGAAGAATTTAACCTTTTTGTAACACTTGGAGTACAACACAGAAAGATCTTCCTAGGAGGTTCATCACTGACAGCTTCAATCCTGATAATATTAAGCTTGCCTAGACTAATCTCCTGGCAGAATTTCTTGGTGTGCTGACAGGATATTCTAACAATGCCATTCCAGTTTACCTGCACCAACTTTAACAATCAGTCTCCAAATTTTTAGACTAATGAGTCATGAATAAATATAGTTCCTGCTTTAAGACTTTTTGTATATAATTATATGTTTCGAAATAACATATGGTAAGTCTCATTTGGGAAAAAAAAATTCATTTTCAGATCTAAAAGAGACATTCTCAAGCTAAGTTTCAGGTCAGATCACAAATACATAACCAGCACAGGGGATAAGCTAATTCAAACCTACCACTGAGCATGGCCAGATATGCACTCAGAAGGACCAAAGTTCAGGCAAAAATCCTTTCAGGAAAAATCTTCCATTGAGCCATCAGCATCCACATGAGTGTTTTCCACATCCACAACACCCTGTGGTGAAATATTGCACCACTTCTTCCATTTAATGACAATTTTCCTCCTAGTGGATTCATTGGATGCCACCCTGTCTACTGCAAGGGGCAGTGAATCTTGTCATGGGAAGACAAAATTAATCCAGCCTCACAATCTCTGATTTATGTAAAATAGGTTCCAACTTTTTTCTTCTTCTTCCTTTACCACAGCAAGATTGCAGCTCTTCTCAAGCTGAAAATGTTGGAATTAGGTAATGTCAGTTATTTCTTCTGGCAAGCACCTTTTCAAATTACTTAATCTGCACCACACCATGCACTAATTTATATACTTTATGTAAAAATCAACATTTTCTACGACTCAATGGCACATCAATAACTGTCTCTAATGGATAAAATGCAGAAATAGAGACTAGCCTTAAAATAACAAGCCACAGTGGGAGCAATCACCTTCCTCAATGGCAAAGAGAAAATTTTATTCAGTCTCTAGTGCAGGCTACATGAGCCCTAAACCAACAGAAAGTAACATGCTATAATTCCAATAGGGGCCAAAAGAGATTTCAAATTAGTTTTCCCCAAATCCCACTGTTTGGATCTTTAGTGCTGAGACCAATTTTTGAGTTGTAAAATTCAAAATACATAACCAAAACTCTAGATACAAATTCAGTTTCCCAAGCAGTGATTGTCTTCCACAGGAAAAGTAAACACAGATAAAATATCCAGACCACAATGTTTTCACCTCTTTTAGAAAATGAATGAAAATTACTGATTAAATCTGTCTCAAGGCTGAAAAGCCACAGTCTGTAGAGCTTCTGTTGGTGTCTATCATTAGAGACAAGCAGGCTCTTAAAACACTCTACAGGCACAACTCCTTTGAAAGCACCCAAATCACCCAGGCATGTGCCAGTCTGCTTTGTCCCTAGGCAAGGCTGAAATCCAGTCCTGTTCTCAATTATGAGATTCAAGTGCTCCTTCAGGTGGAGATTAATACAAGAATTCTTCATTTTTCTGCTGGTTTTGTGTCAACTCAGTCCAACAGAAAGGAAAGCTGGACACCTCAGCTGCAATGGAGATGGTCCCAGCGAGCTGCACTGTGGTCTGGAAAGGGAATCCTGGTGTAAGCTATTTAATCATCTCAGTGTGCCTCACCCACACCCTGACAGAAAGCAGCCTTCCATCACCTTGCTCTCAGCTGATTCTGGCAACCAAAAGATTCAAAGGTCCTGCATTGCACGTCTTCCTCAAATTTAAAAAACTCCTTTGTGATGATACACAGTTTGAATCTAACACAGTTTACAAAATCTTAACTAATGTGTGCACTCTGCTATTAAGACCTGAAATGTGCTAAATGCCTTGTTTTCAAACAGATTTCTGGGGTATTCTTTGTGGGTGCTCAAGCCTGTCTAAAATTAAGATTTTGATTCACCTCCAGTAATTCTTGAGATGGAGAACAGTCCATTCTGAGGGCTACACAGAGTGAAGCCTTCAAAATGTTGATTTTTACATAAAGTATATAAATTAGTGCATGGTGTGGTGCAGATTAAGTAATTTGAAAAGTTGCTTGCCAGAAGAAATAACTGACATTACCTCCAGTAATTCTTGAGACAGACAACAGTCCATTCTGAAGGCTACACAAAGTGAAGGAACCTGAGGGTTATACTTTCCTGAAGTCTGACTTCAAAGAGCAGTGAAAAGAGAGGCTGTTTAATGAATACATTCAGGAGTGAAAAGCTTCAGAATATGGCTTTAAGAATCTATATATTCTATACTAACCAATAAGAAGAAAGGTTCCAACAGCTACGCCTCCACCTGGAAACAAAACAAAATGAAGAATAAAGTAAGACTACACTTTAATACTATGTTAGAGAACAATTAACTTTTCTTAGTTTATAAGTCAAAGAAAGGTGATAACGGGGAATTTAAAAATATAAAAGTGAACAACATTTTAATTACCTTTGCAATACTTACTACAATTCTCTATTATGAAATAATTACACATTACATGTAATTACATACTGCACATTACAATTACTTTCACAATATACTGTACTATCATCATTGTGGTAAAAAGATCCTGCAGAGCTCTATGCAACCACGCTCAAGTACTACAGTGGTGATGTATGGTCTGAGCCAGCAGATTTTTACTGGGATAACTCATGTGAGTAAACAGTCTCCAAATAAAATAAAATTAATATTAACCACTATCAAGTGATTCCACTATGGTGGAATATCACTATCAAGTGATATTCCTTTGTATCAAGAAGGATGTAAGCTAAGTGACCAACAAAGATTTTAGTAGATTTTAGCAAATTTCCACCCAAGTCTTCGAAGCAAAATCCTGGCTCCACTGCTTTTTATCTTATTGACATGGCAGCAAGACTTTCACCCATTGAAACCTGGACTGACAGATCATAAATGTCACAACACACACTATGAAAAAAACATACACTACTGAAGAGATTCAAGTTTTTTATAGTAGTTTTTTATGTCTTTTTATATATAAGTTTTTTATGTCTTGGACATAACTCCATGAATTCCTTTATAAGGACAGTGAAAGAAGAAATCTTATTTTATTTTTGGGAAAGAGCACACTAATTTGTAATCTGAATTCCAAGAATTAAAACAGTGGAATAACCTGAAATCAGACTATTTTCTTAACAATTATGGAAGACTGTGACAGGAAAGCTAAAAATCCCTGGAAGTGTTCAGGCTGGCCACATGTAACCAGCCTACTGAAGTGTTTTGCATGGAAACTGCAGGATGGTGTCTGCAATTCTGTACTGATTTAAAAGCAACTTAGGAGAAAACTAATTGATGAATCCCACCAGCACAGTATGCAAAGTTCCAGAAGTCAATTCTGGACTGCACAGATGGACTCCAGTGAACAGGATCTTTCATTTTATAAATGAAAAAAACTCCACTAAAAATTGATTCCAATATGAGTTGGATCAAATTCTTAATCTTCAGCTTTGCTAGTGGGACTACAAATGCCTGCAGTGTCTGTAATGTTGATATACCCAAAAGGAAGAAAAAAATCAAATGGCTCTCCCAAAGGCCAAACAGTGCTAATATTGTTGCATAATAGCACCTGAATTAAAACCAGAACAGGATCACTCTGCCATCATGCCCCACAACTCAAGCAGTACTGGCACTGAAAGTGCTTAGTCAGCTACTAATTTCATAGTTATAGAAAAGCAGAGTCAAGATGTACAAATGCCTCAATATCTACAGCAAGCTGATCAGGTAATTAATCAATTTCTAGATATTTAATAAATAACAATCAACAAACCAATTTTAACTGCTGTTTATCAGAAAGTTAGCATCACTCATGAAATCCCCACCATGCCCTAAGCCCGTGATTTTTGTTCCATTTATTTGTTCAGGAGATAAATGCAAATGAACCCAAAAGATGTACCAGAAGGGAAAGCAAAAAAAAAAAAAAAAAAAAGACCAAAATCTGAAATCATACTGATGTTTGACACAAAGTATGCTTCCAATAGTCACTGCATTTAATTGTTCAAGGAGCCGGAACAAACAGGTTACTAACAACAGTTGTTTAAAATGAGCACATGCTCTATACAGCCCATAGGAAAGAAAAGCTCCAAATGTTGAGATTTTACCAAATGACATAGAAAATATGATTAGAGCAGCCATAAGTAATGTATTAGCTCATGGCAATAAGGACATGAAAACCTTGGTTAGAGAAAAGTTCACTTGTAGCCATGACAGTCGGGTCTCTTCTGCTTTTACAGTGAACTTGTTTGTCAACCAGTGCAGTGAAAATTCTCTCAAGCTGCATTTTCAGATCATCCATGGCACTATTTCTACAAGCCAGAGCTGTAACCTATGTGCACATACCCTGGTTGTTAAAGGCAAGCTCAGGTCAGAGCATTGTCTTTACTTTATCATTGATGGTTTGACAAGTGTCTTCTACAAGAGGGAATGCAAAACTATTGCAGTTACCATGGTTACACCTTCATATTACAACGAGCAAAAATACTAGTAAATTAAACAAAAGGCAACAGGAAAAAATAGCAGGAATGCTGTTGGAATCAAAAGGAAGAGGCAAAATCTATAAGTTTCCCAAGAAAGCTGCTGTGAACTTGTCATTTTGCCTATTTTCATTTTTCTTTGTCAGTATCTAAGGCAGTAGAATATATAAACATCTGAGCAAAACTTGTAACTTTCCACATTGCTACTTACAAGAGAGATTTAAAATCTTATGGAGAGAAGCACAACAAACTTTGCAAGCTGAGAAGTGCCCAGATTGTTTTCAAAGCATATCCCTGACTTTTTTTCCAGCAGACTGAAAAAAACATTCAGTACACCAGGCATGTGATGGTTATATTATACAATAGTTGCAGCTCACTGCAAAGAACTGCTCTGGCACACATCAGGCATATATGGCCCATAAACCTTGAAAGTAAACTTAGAGAAATAAATAGAAAATATTTATAAACATAATATATATATTTATAAATATATATATTTATAAAACAAAAATAAGAAAATTATAAAATAAACTCCGGAAGTGCAGAGTGCCCTGATGGTAACACTGCATTTGAAATCCAGCACTTATCTACCACTTGTCTTCCAAAGGAAATTCACTCCTTTAGAGTGAGCCACAAGGATGTAACCATCAGCTGTAGGGTGAAAGAAACTCCTCCTTGGATTCTTTGCCTTTTCCTCTCTTCAGAAGCTCCTCATTGTGTGTGATAACACCATGCTTTCCCTCACTCACAGGCTGCACTTTTATGTCTGGCAAATAATTCTGTATCTGGGTTACAGATTTTGAACAGAGCAAAGTTAAACTCAACCCCAAGCCAGAGATCTACAAGACTGCCTAGTGACTTCTCCAAAGTATGTCTATGAAAATAACAGACTAAAAGAGTTTGTACTAACTTCCATTGGGAATTTATAGCAAAAAAAAGATCATCCTCAGTCAGTGGTCACAATAAAAATTAAAATATTTTTACAGTCAATTATGTGATTGCTAGTGGGCAAGACAAAAGAAGAAAAGCACCAATATTCTTTCAGAAACACATAAACAGCGTTCTGCAACACAATCATGAAGCATTTCCACACCCAGGAAAGCAGCACAAAGCAAACCAAGTCAACACCTGCAGAGTCACCAGCACAGCAGGCTGCACTGATGCCTCAGGTTTTGGCTTTTCTATTTTTCCCATTCTGTGCTGCTTTAGTGTGTGGGTCTGGGCTTCACATTCAGGGATGGTGAGCTCTGTGCACAGAGCAGGGAGACAAAACAATTCCTGCTCCAGCTGGGCACCAAGGACAAATGATCCCAATCTCAGCCCAAGAGCACAAACCCCGTGGGCTGCAGAGAGAAAAACAAGCAGGGTGGGACTGCAGGGGCTAAAGCTGGAATGGGACAATGAACTGCAAGATGCAAATGGAGCAGAACTGATCCAAGGGAGAGAGCCCGGGAGCGCTGGTGCATTTTGGGGCCATTTTGGTTCATCTTGGGTGCAGGCCTGGCTGGGCTCTGGTGCTGCCCAAGGTGGATCCATGGAGGAGATGCTTTGAATCAATCCCTGCTTGATTCTTTAGCTCTGCCCAGCCCCTGCTCTAGGGCAGCCTGCACAAGGCATCAGCACCATCAGAGGCTCAGCCCGATGTTCCCTTTTACTCAGATCACATCTGGAACATGAGGTCCAGATGACTTTGAGCTCTTCCATCCAAGAAAAAATAAAGATAAACTGAAGTGAGTCCAGGGAGGGGAATGAAAATGGGGCAACTGATTCAAGAGAAGAAGTTGAAGGAAGTGGGCTTGCTCAGCCTGCAGAAGGGAGGAAAAGCTCAAGGCCCTGGGGTGCCCAAGAGAAGCTGCTGACACACTGCTGGAACCCTGGTTACTGAGAATTTCAGACTTTCTGTGCTGGCAGGCACTGACCCCCAAGAGAACACTGCATTTGACTTGAGGCTGTGGAGAAGGATTCCAAAATGGAGTGACAGAACTGGGATTGTGGGTGTGGAGTTTGAATAGAAGTGTGTAATATCTTATGGTGGAAAACTTAAGAGTTTAAGGTTTTCGAATATAGTAATATATATAAAGCAAGATGGAGGTTTTAGGATGGAGGCTGCTCCTTCTTCACGGGTTTGGGTGGTTTTGTGTAATTGGATAAAAAAGTCTGCATTGTGTGGTTGGTTATTGGGTTAAAAGTAACAATAATTTAGGTGTCATTTCTTAATTGGACAGTTTATCCTTAAAAGGCCTTGTAGAGAGAGAGAGATACAGCTCCATTTTCAGTTTGTTAGAGTGAAGTGCTGCAGAACTCACAGTTTGTGAGACTGTAGAATCAGAAGTAATAATGAGTCCCAACAAGAAATATCATCTCATACATTTAATCCTGACCCTAACAAAAAAGAAGCAAAGACTCCACAACAACAGCTGAGCTCTTCACTGAGGTGCAGTGGGAGGGCAACAAGCAACAAATGGGAGCTGAAACAGGGGAGGCTCCTAGTGGATATAAGGAAAAAGAAAATTCCCTACAAAAAATAATCAAGCATGGGGGGCTGGGTTACCCAGAGGCGCTGCAAAATCTCTGCCACTGCAGATTTTCAAGACTCCACTGTACAAAGCCCTGAGCAATCAGCTCTAAACTCAGAGCTGAGCCTCCTTTAAGGCTGTGGAGGAGAAATTTCTGAGGTCCCTCCTCAGCCTCCAAAAT